AAAAAAAAAAAAAAAAAAAAACAAAAAAAAAAAGTATTCAATAACAATTAGATATTTTATTGTGATTATTTCAATTTTTTTGTACTTTAGAATTCTTTTTATTAAGATGAGTTCTTTATAATTTATATATATATATATTTTTTTTTTTTTTTTTTTACCGTAGAAGTTCATTTTAGTAAATTTTAATTTATGTAGCTCTAGCGATAAATTTAATACGCTAATTTATATAATTAAGCAACTGGAAATTGAGTGCTGCGAAGAAAATGGGCGTGCTACATATATTATATACATAAAGAATTTTTTGTTCTACTTCGGTTGTTGGGTTTGAGAAAAAATATATTAATTACAGTATAGTCAGAATGCCTTGAGCGTAAAAAAAAAAACAAAAAACAAAAAAACTCGCAATCAAAATTCAGCAAAAAACAAACTTTACTATACAAGTATTTAATTAGACATAACATTAATAAATTAAGCTGTAGTCCTTAAATACGTAGAAGTTAATTAATATATATTAACCGTCAAAAAATTTTGGTTTAATTATATTTCTGCAAAAAATATATTTTCCAAACAGCATATTTTTATTTCAAAATTAACAATCTTTTTTTTTTTTACAAATACATACATTATTTAAATATACCTCAATCATTTTATAATTTAATCTTATTAAATTACAGAGTATTTTCTTAGCGCAGTGCTGGAAATTTCCTTATCGTAGCTGTTATAATGGATATTTTATATATTATTTTGCAGAATGCATACTCAAATGATTAACATTTATGTGTAAACCGATTCATAAAATATCACTTACTTTATATGAAAATAAATTTTAGTAATTTTCACATTGCGGAATCGCCTATAAGTTAATTCTTTCGCATTTACGTTTCAAGTGCTTAAAAGCTTATAGTTTAAGGGTCGTTAAAGGTAACGGTAAAAGTGGTATTGAAAAATAAGTTGTTAAAAAAAATTTGCTAGGACAATTTAATGATGCATTGGGATAGAAATGTAACAACAGGATAAGACAATTAGAAGATCGAAGTTATTTTATACACTCTGGTTATACATTAGTTTACAAAAATATTTCAAGTACCTAAGAAAATACGTAGGCACATATAGAATTTTCGGAAATCGAGATCGTTCATTGTTCATACATAATTTTACGACCAAATACTTGAATAACACATTATTTTTTATAAATAATAATTTTCATATTACATACTGCCCTGCACGCACACGTTCTGATAGAAACTGTAATATTCGTTTGGTATTGGAATATACCGTGTGTGAACGTATAATAATAGCTCATAGGCGATAATGGGTACAATTAAGATATTGAACAAGTACATATCTGCCGTTGGTGAACTTTTCGAATACTTTATAAGCTCTCAACGGATATCGGCAAATTAATAAATTAATAATGCTATTTGATAATAAAAGGCACATACGTTTAATGTTATGATTATTGATATGGCCCTGTAAATAAAATAAAATAATAAGATTTGTATTGTGACACGCTTATTCAGTTATTATATCATATTGTAAATATTTATAAAGTTAATTTATGAAGGATGAAAATGTCAGAATTAGGAATTATAATTTTTTTAATTTCTTGTGCGCTTATGCGCATGTAGAGGAGCGTCAGGCGTGTCCGGTTAGGTAAAATTCTCCGTCAAGATTGCCGATCTTTACAGTCAACCGTCAAAGTCTAATGTGCGCGCAGTAAGTCGTTAACTCTGGTGAAATTGACTATGTTCATGACTGTCACAGCCCTAATGACGTTATGGGGCAGGCGGCTTTTGTTTGTGCTCTCGAATCCCATGAAAAGTGCAGAATATGTACATGCGGAGATACATGGTGATCGAGAGCATTTAAGTAATAACAATAATCCCAAACAATTTACCAAAGTAATTTTGCGGCAACATTTTACCATGTAGAACAGGTATATATATATATATATATATATATATATATTTGTGTGCGTGTGTGTTTGCGCGTGCGTGTGTGTTTGTGTGTTTTTGCGCCTGTGCGCGGCTGTGTGTGCCTGCGCGTGTGCGTGCGTGCGTACGCATACGTATATATAATTTGTAGTTTATTTTGTTTAATTTCGTTAAACGCGTAGTAGTTGTGTAAGATACGATAATTTGATTATTAAGTAATGGTTAATGAGCGCAATGACGATGCTTTTCAATTAGTTAAATATAATTCACGCCGGCAACGTACGAAAGCTCAATTACATGTCAATAGTAAGCCAGTAATTGTTGAATGTGACTCTGTCGATGAAATTCTTGATAAAATAAACAGTGCTTTGTTGAAATTTAAAGAATCGCAGTTTCATCAAACGTTAATTAACGAAGTGAAAAAGATTTTGATAACTTTGAATTCGACTGGTATTGATGATATTATTTGTTACGGCCTTGGAAATTTCTCCCAAAACAATTCTTCGAAATATCAATTAGCTGCATTATTAGTTCTGAAAACTGTTTATTCTGCTAATACGTATATTTACGATCCACTTTTTTTTAAAAATGAAATTGTGAGCTTAAAACGATTGAGTTTGCAAGTTATTGAAAAAAACGAGGGGGGGAAAAGAGTTTTAAATAATTGCACTACGCTTGTATTTATGCCACATTGTTCAAAACAACTAACGAATAACTTTTTATATGCTAACTGGAGCCCTTTAATACGTAATTGTATTTTATTAGGTAACAGTTGGTCAGAACTGGAATGCCACACGACAAATACTTTACTTAAGCAGACTGCGTATTATATATACAAGCTAAAACCGTACGTTACTGAAATTGTATTAAGGAATAATTTTGAATATACAAATATATTTAATGGAACTTCTTTACATATATTTTTAAAAGACAAATTGGGTAAGATTCCTGTAGATTTCTGGGACAAAACGACATCCTTACTGTGCGGTGACAACGATCCTGAATTTATCGACAGTCCTTATAATTTTCAAGAAGAAAAATGAAAAGCAATCTCTCCTTATTGCGTTTATTAGCAAGTGAAATACGCAAGACGTCGTCGCAAAGTCAACTAAAAAATAATATAACCATGCAGTACATTCTAGAACAAAGTCGAGCTCATAAAGAGACTTCCGAAGTTTATTGTAAGGATAAAGAAGATCTGCAAAATTTAGCTCAAAATTATGCGTGCTACTTAAATTCTGTTAGAAAATATCAGGAAATTAATAGTATTTATAGTGGTAAAGGCGAACGAAGTATAAAAGAAACTGCGAGTCTTGTTGGATTTAAACTTCCGCATGATACATGTTAATGACGTTGGAAGATAGTCTAATAGCAATTTAAATTCTACTTGAATAAATTATAAACGTTATATAGGACACAGGCGTTTTATTTCTATTAATCCACATATCTTACAAAGTTTTCATATATTATTAAACTGTGTAACCTTAATCCTTATGCCCTACTCCTTTAACATATTTCCAAAATGTATTTATATATTTGAAAACCTCGTTCAAACCCAATACCTTATATTAATATTCATGAATTTTCTTTGAAGAGTTACGTGTACTTTAAAAAACTTTAGAGAATAAAAATTGTTATTATCACAGGAGTATTTGCAAGCATGCGCGATGTTTATGTGGACATCTTGAAGAAATTTGAACAAACGAAAGAAAAGAAAATTAACTTGAGCGTCAACGCACTTGTAAAAATCGAATAGGATTAATGAATATTTTTCAAAATAAATGAAAAATACATATTTGGAATTATACAAAATTATAATTACATAATTAAGATGTTTGAAAATAATAGTGATATAGAAAATAGTAAATGCCTTCAACAATTTTGTCAAATATTACCAAAGATTGTAAGTTTAACAAACATTTAATGATGTTATAATTTCAACTTTTTACCTTTAATTAATCAATTGATACGACTATTATTTTAAGGAGTTGCATGCGCATTTGAATGGAGCATTAAGCAAAAAGACATTGGATGATTTGTATAAAATGAAATACCCAGAAAAGACTGATACGTGCGAGGCTTTTAATTTTGCATCGTTAAAAGAGTAAATTATTATTTGTATAGAACTACCAAATTTATAGTTTGTATCGTAACGAGCGAGTTTGTACAAATTTTTTAAACATTTTGTCCGAGTAGTTGTCGCTTTAAAATGACCAAGTTATAAGAAACTAAAGTATATAGCAATAATAACAATACCAATGATGCAAACTATAAATTAATATTTCAAGCGTACGACTCATTTGCTTTAGGTGAATTTAATTGAATTGCTAATGTTTTTAGAGTCTTCGAAGTTTTTAACATTGTTTATTCTGTAACTACAACACCAGAGGCTGTCTTTATTGCAACGTATAATACAATCAAGGAATTTTACGAGGACAATGTCATTTATTTGGAATTAAGAAGCACACCTCGCGCAGAAAATGGAATGACAAAAACAGAATACGTACTAGCTATTTTGAAAGCCATAGAGTACGCGTATACGATAACTCAAACTAGTCATTATAAATCATTAAACGATAAAGAAATAAAAATGCCACTGTTCTTAATTTCAGGACATGTCAAACGGAAAAAATAGATATTATTGTGAAATTATTGATATCGATCAATCGAAAACAGGGCTACAAGGCAGCAAAAGAAAATATTCACTTAGCTATTGATATGTGCAAAGAGTACAAAAATATAGTTGGCATTGACTTGTCCGGAGATCCAACGAAAGGAGAAGCTTTTATAGAATTACTTTATCAGGCTAGAAAAGCTGGCTTGAAGATTGCTGCGCACTGTGCCGAGGTACATTGTATTTTTACACAGAAATAAAATCTTAACTAACGAGACAATCAATCATTAAGCTTCGAAAATTTCTTCTATTTTATAATTAATCTTGGCTCGAGAAACTTTCAAGTTATTTTATCACTTGACTTTCAATTATTTTTCTTACCAATTATTGGTCATTAGATGATTTTGAAACGGCCATGTGTAATTAACATAATCCTTAATAAAAATAATTAGCAGGACCTTGTTACTTAATATTGTAATATCATTTTAAGCATAGTTTGAAGCTATTAATATATTTATGTCTATTATAGGTTGCGAACGAAGTGGAATGTATGAATATTTTGAAATTTAAACCTGAAAGATTGGGCCACGGCACTTGTATTCATCAACATTCAAACGGATCGGAAAGGCTATACCAAACCTTATTAGATTCTAAGATCCCAGTTGGTAAATACAGCACCGTACGATTATATTTAAAATAAAAATTTTTAAATTATTCAATCCTAAACGTCTTTTTTACAGAAATATGTTTGACGTCAAATGTTAAGTGTAAAACTGTTGCAAATTATAGCTCTCATCATTTTAAATATTTGTATGAATCGAAGCATCCCGTTTGCATATGTGTGAGTGTGCAAGAGCATTCATTAATCCATATATATGTTTCACTGCCAACTACTGTCCATCTAAACTGTAACTTTTTCCAGACTGACGATAAGGGCGTTTTTGACACAACTTTGTCAAAGGAATTCACGCTGGCTGTCGAGCATTTTAATTTAAATAAAAGTCATCTTGTCAATTTAATGAAATCCACCGTTAATTATGCTTTTGCAAGTGACATTGAGAAAAATAAGATGATTGAAATAATTGATAATTTCAAAAATGTTTGGATTTAAGTGAATAATTCGCTAAATCAATTACTTTTATAATTAAAATAATGATTTTAAACAATACCTTGTTTTATTTTATTTATTTTAAACTATATCTTGATTTATTTTGCGGGTGGCGGGGGCGGGGCGGGGCGAGGTGGTGGTGGTGGTGGTGGTGGTAGGAGGTGGAATGCTCGAATACCATTGAAATAAATTGCAAAAAACTATATTATAATATAATAAGGTGATGTAGAAATGACAGGATAAAAGACATAAAAGTATGTTCATTTTTATTTATGATCGTGGGGCACGTTTACATAGATTTACAGAGAAATATTAAGCTGCTATGTTGAGGAGAGTCTACGATATAATTAAATTCATCGGTGTTCTATGTTTTATCTTTTTTTTTTTTTTTCTCGTCGATCGATATCATGTATATACACATTCATCATTACAATATTATACGTTGTAAATTTATGGTGCAATTGTTACTTAGTTAAAAAATAATAATTATATATTTATTTATTTATTTATTTATTTATATATATATATATATATATATATATATATATATATATATATATACACACACACACATATACATATTCATATATGCCTGCGTATGCATATGTGCCTATATACATATACGTGTGTACATACGTATACATATACATATACATATATACATATATATATATATATACATATATATATATATATATATATATATATATACATACACACACGCATACATATAAACACGCGCGCACGCACACTCACACACATATGTATTTATGTATTTATATATGTATATTTATATTTATATTTATAATATGTCCTAAGTAATAGCCGGCTGGCACTCGCGCACAGGATGGCTCTAACAGTTAACGAATGCCTCACGAGCTTTTTGCCGAATCACAATCGAGCGTGACAGATTAAAAAAAAAAAAAAAAAAAAAAAAAAACAAAGAAATATATACATATACATATGCATATACATATACATATATACATATACGTATACGTATATTAATATATTGCGTGTCACAATGAGCCTTCGAGAGAAGAAGAAAAGAAATAAATCGCTTAATAAGGAACCACCTAATGCACCTCTTCTTTATCTCTTTCTCTCGCTTTATAATACTTGGGGTGCAAGAATCTTCTTCACATAATCTGGACCTCCTTTTCGTTTAAAGTCTCGCCCGTGTTTAATATATACGCTGTATGTTTAATCTGTAAAAGATTATTGGTGATCGGTAAATTAGGTGGGCACATGACTTTTCATTAGATCAAAGAATTTGATGGAAATAGCGTATTAAAATTTTCACAAAATAAAAAATATACAATTAGCTTTTATTTTCATTTTCAAGACAACAGCAGAATTATTTATACTCCTTCCAATGTCTTTAAAATCAATAGATAATGTCAATATAAATCTTTTTTTATTTCCATCAAATCTTCTTGAGTTAACTTTCTTTCTTATTAAAAACGTAGTTTTGATTAGAAAGGCCTCCCGCAATCTCGCGCGTCAACATAAAAAAAAAAAAAAAATTGCTGTGGTGGTAGCTTTTCATCAACTATCGCTAATAGTTCAGTGTAGGCAAAATGATCTCTTATTATAAATGACATGATAATATCTTTAATAGTTAAATCGTAGTAAGAATTAATTTCTAGAGTAATATTTGTCTTATATAACAGTCTTTTTTGGCTAATCTTCGAACTATGAACAATAAAAATTTACCTTTCCTTTTAGTGTTTTCGCCCTCGAAAGATCTGTATCTTTCATTCTTTTTTTCCCGTACAAATGAAAAAAAAAAAAGGAAGAAGCTTAAAACACCATTTTTTAATTCGTACATTCGCATAACCAGTATTTGTCTCATTATATACCTCTAATACCTTAATTTTCTTCTATATGTGAGATACAATAACGATTATGACTAAAAAATGTCACCACTTGCACTCTAACCATTTAGTTATATTTTGCCGTTCTAATAATTGTGTACATATTGTTTACGAATGTAATTAGATTCCTTTCGCATTTCTATTCTTTCGTTTATATCTCTCACATGTAGTAGTAGTAGTAGTTTTTTTTTTTTTTTTTTTTTTTTTTTTTTTTTTTTTTTTTAAATCATTATTTACTCTTCTTTCTACATTTTTTCTCTTGCATACTAATTAATTATTCGACAATATTTTCGTGGTATGCGATTGAATTATAATTAATGATCTATTTACGAATTCGTTTACAACATTATCAAAGTATAACACATTTCGTTTTTGTAAAATTTAACAATTTCATTTTTTATTTTCTTCTAATGAAAAATTAGCTTGATGCACGTGAATTTTAATCAGATAGCATTAATTGCTTAAATTCGCTGTAAATAATTATGATTCAATCCTAAAAAAAAAAAAAAAAAAAAAAAAAAAAAAAAAAAAAAGAGAAAAGAAAATCGGATTGCGTCTGGTCACATTAAATGTGGGACATATAAAAATTTAATTTTTTATTCCAATCAAAATATTTATCGATGTATTTATAAAAGTAAATAAAACAATCGTTGTCTCTAAAATTAATGATTTCGATGTTATAAAAAGATAAATTATTATTTTTTAAATTAAAGAAGGACATTTTGTTCAAGTTATCGTAGTTTGTGAGGAATTAAAAAAAAAAAAAAAAGAAGAAAAATTATATCGACACATAAGGATTTAAAACCATAATTATTAAGTTAAAGCCATAAAATTTAAATAATAAATAAATTGCACTGAGTCACTAGTCAACAAAAGAAAGTTTAAAATCGTGTGTAAAAATCATTTTGTCTGTCTTTCACATACTGATATGATTAAAATTCAACTTTACATTATTATCGTTTGATCAGCATTATTCTCGTAGTATTAAGTACACAGCTTTAGAGATTTCGCAAAACTTTCTATATAGAATAATAACAGGGGCTTGGGGAGTGTGAGGGTGGTTGGGTAGGATGTGGGGAAGCAGCAGGAGAAAGAATAAAAGAAGGAAAGAAGGGGAATTATCGAGCCGCAGGTTCTTAAAATCGCTTGCTCGTAGTATATGATTCTTAAAAAAAAAAAAAAAAACAGAAGATGAAGCAACAGAACATTAACAATTCACGAAACTTGTCCATGTTAAAAAGAAAATTTAACTTTCAAAATGAAGCGAGCGTGTAAGAATAAAAATCTCGATAATCAATATTTTGCTCAATATAAAATAACCGAATTCATCAAATCGCCTATTTCGTTCATCGTAATTACGCATACACCTAAACGGGCAAGCACGCGTGCACGCCTGGACCATACATATTCTTATCAGATCGTTTATTTCTATTTGTTAATTAATCCTCGTATGACAATATGTACAAACTTATAAGAAAAAAGAGCAAAAGAATTAAGAGAAACGAGGGAATTGCTTATTCGCTTGAACGATGTAGGATACCGACAAAGTGATTTCTTTTTTTTGTCTGGCGGCTATTCGTATTGACAATTTATTGAAAAGCAACTCGAGACATTGAAATAAACATAAAGTTGTAATATCGTGAAGAGAAACACAAGGGAAGATCTTCGTTACTGCTGTTAACTGATAATACAGCTGTCATATATACTTAATTAAAAACGGAATTTTCAAATAAACGGTTATACATTAATATTATAAAATCACATTGTCGATATACGGAGGTCGTATAAACGACGCTTGCAAAAGAAATTAATTAATAGTTTGGTCATAAAATGTAAAACGAATGTACACGTACAAATATTAATAAAATGCTTATAAAATCTGTAGAGGCGGGATAAGAAGTGAATTGTATTGACGCTCTCTAAATTTATTTTACACGAGGAAATGTTCTACATTATAATTATATCATTATAGAATTATTGTTAATTGGCGACGTTTAAAGTGATTCTCACAAGGAAAAATGACAACACAAAGAAAAGAAAAGAAAAACAAAAACTAAGACTCCGAGACAATAAATAAATAAAGACGTTTTGATTAGGCGAATTAAATGATTACTTTTTATTTGTTTGTTTGTTTGTTTGTTTGTTTGTTTGTTTGTGTGTGTGTGTGTGTGTGTGTGTGTGTGTGTGCGCGTGCGTGCGCGCGCGTGCATGTGTATACGGCCGTGTACATATGAAATAAAAAATAAAAATAAAAAAAAATAAAAATAAAAAAAAACAGAATAACGACGTTCACTCTGACTGTGATGATACGACTAATACTATGTGATAATCCCCGACCAGGTGAGGCTCGCTCGCGCGCATAGGAACGTCTCCGCGATTTAAACGCTCTCATCTCATTTTCTTGAATAATTAATGGTAAGTTTATCCCTATAAACTTCCTCCAACTTACGATCTCTCCCCATCGCTTATACATTTATAACAGCAATAAAATAAAAAAAATTCATTTGATAAAACATAAATCACCACATCACTTTGTTCATTTTTCGTGTCAGATTTCTGTATTGCCAGTATTATTAAAGTATATATCCCCGAAGTTTCATAATAGCAACTAAATATTATGGAAATTAAAAGTATTTGTTAAAGCTACTTAATCATTATGTCCAATATATTAAAAAGAAACATCTAATATGTTTATCTAGCGTTGAGAATTCTTTTCATTTTACAGCTACGCACAGATAAAATGCTTTACTCATTTTTAAGTTAGAAAGTACATATTGCGTATTTCATAAAATATCGACGATTTAAAAAAAGAAACTTATTATTTGTGACAGTGTTACAAAGTTTAGAACTTTTATTGCGCGGATCGCGTCTTGGTAAAGTAAAAAAAAAATCATCCCAAGGAATCCCTTCGAATTCCTAGTTCCGTCCGTGGGTACATAATTCGCTAATGATAAATCAACGCTGCGTCGATCGGCATGTGTATGTGCATTTATACACACGTGCTCATTGATCGCGAGCAGACGTGTAAAGTAGTAGAGATTGCGGGCGCGCGCGCACACATAATCATGATGTTTTCGTCGGCAAAGGGGAGGATTTTGCTAATCAACGGAGACGTTGTTATCGAGCAAGACGCGCAAAAAACGTATTCTTACAATAATAATAAAGAGAGATAGAGAGAGCGGATCGGGCAACTCGACTTAAAAAATGAGAAAGATAAGGGTGAATAATTAATAGGGGCCGTGGCGGAGGGTGGGAGGGAGCGAAGGAGGGAGAAAAACTTAAAAAAAAGGATGGGCTGAGAACCTGGCTCTTTCTTGTCTTCCATTGCACACAGGAATCATAATGCATACGTTGATTATTCACACTATAATGATGATAATAATAATAATAATAATAATAATAATAATAATAATAATAATTAATAATAATAATTAATAAAAATCAATTAATAATCAATTAATTAATCATAATTAATTAATCATAATTAATTAATCATAATTAATTAATTAATAATGATTAATTAATAATCAATAGTGATGAAAGTGATAATTAATTGGCTGAACCACCAATTAATTAACTAATCGTTTAATAATCGCGCGCCTTTACCTCTCGCATACGCGCAACAAACGTATCGCCAAGAAAATTTATATGTATATAAGGGCTCCTGAAGAACATGGAGAACTAAGAAGGAGAAGGAGACGACGAAATAGGGAGGGGAGAGTGGGGATGGGGATGGCGATGGGGGGGGGGGAGAATCGAAAGAATATAATGCGGGTGCCAAACGTACAGCATCACACGCATGTGCATCGGGGGGTACATATGTCGGGGCGCGTCCCGGTCGTGCACATTAATTAAAGTCGAGGACGTCGCCAGGGTACCGCCTGTTACTACCGCCTGTTACTAATGAATTAGACCGTTGTTTATGTATGTAGAATGCGCGGGTCCGGTAACGGCGGCATCGTCAATGCGTCCATTTACCGGACAACGCCGGATCACGCCGACGCCGCTTGAAGTGGACGGTGCGGTCCCCTCCTCGCCGCCCCGCCGCTAACCTACTGGCCGGGCGTTCACGAGACGACGTTGCGCGACGAGGCCTTCGTCTCGTTGTTGTTTGTCGAGGCTGCGAGGCTGGCCCTGCCGTCTGTCTGGGCAAACAGCACGCCCTGGTACATCACGCCGTTCAGCTCCATGCTCACCACCAGCGAGTTGTCGCGGCCGTCACCTAGAACACCAATGGGACAAAGGACGAGGGCGATTAGCTCCTGGCTTGCCTCCTCCACCTTCTCCTCCTTCCACGATTTTCTCGAAAGATCCGTGAACGTACCTCGATTAGAGATCTTGATGTGTGCGCCGGGGAGGGCGGGAACGTTGTTGTCCCCGTGGCCGTCCTCGTCCATGCATAGCCTCTTGTTGGACGCCGAGCCGGCGGTCACGCCGTGCTCGACCTCGCGCTTAATGGCGATACTGCCACCGGACGATGGGGGACTTTGTCGAGCGGGTGACGAAGAGCTTGGCGAGGATCTGCAATTATTCGCCATAGTCATTAGGATCTCGCCGAGGTCGTCGAGATGCTAATATCGAATTAGCAGTCGGCGGAGAGCGTCAAGTCGCAATACGACAAATGTACGAACTCTTCCCCATCCTTGCCGAGCTACCTCCGATATTTTTTTTTTGTTTTTTTTGTTTTTTTTTTGTTTTTTCATTCGTTCCCTCAAAATTCATAAAACGGCTCGCGACGTGCCGCTCTACAATTAACTTCACCGACCACCGACCATATTGGAGAAATAAGTTGTAGCATTTATTTCCTTTCAACGACCCTATGTATACCTGAGCACACGTGTGCGCGCGCGCGAGGGTGTGCCTTTGTATAACAACCAAAGTAAGCAATGTTCAGCGATAAAGGCGATTGGCCAATTGACTTATTGATTTAGGCACATTCACGATACATAGTGAAAGAAAAAATAAAATAAAATAGAATTTACATTGGATATTGTTGTTACGTTACGTAACGTTGTCTTAAAAGTTCCATTCGGCCAGTGAGCGCTGAAGCTCACTATCGACGACCTTAATAGGAACGAGTAATACGCGTGCTTTACGTACGAGCGAGACAGTCCTGATCTACCAATCTCGCGTCAGCCAGGCACGCGTGTCTCCTTAAAAGCGACGTCGGTGATCGGCGCGAATGGGCTGAAAAGTCCGCGCGGCTCCGGGTAACTCACCTCAATCCCAGATCGAGTGCCTCCTTCTGTGGCTCGGGGCTGGCCGGTTGTGCCTGGGGAGAATGCGAGCTCGGCTGGGGCGAGACCGCCTGGGGGTAGCCGATACCCGGATGCAGATTGTTGTTGTACATGTTCCAGAGTGTGAGCCGGGACATCTCGAAGAGTGCAGCCTCGCGCGACGGCGATCTCGCTGGCGGCGACGTGCTGCCCTGACGGTGGCCCATTATGCCCGGGGGCGAGCCCGCCGCGCGCCTTCCCATCTCGCGCTGCAAGTGTTTCACGTACTCGGCCATGCGCACCTCGAAGTCCGGGGCTATACCTGCTGCACATCACAGTCGCATGTTGTTAATTAGGCTTTAATCTAATTGTTTCCGATGGCCTGCAGCATCGACTCGTCGGCACATTCGTCGCAGCCGTCGTCGATTAATGTTGTCACTTGGCGATCAGATTAGATCGAGAAGTCGGGCAGTGGCGGCTTATGATGCCGACCCGCATGATCCACCGACCATTAAAGTATGGTCGGGTAATTGGAAAGGGTCCCACGGTGCTGGGAGCACGTATGCTTCCCCCGTATTTATAAAAATGATTCTTACGAAGGTGCGGGGAAAGTCGAGCAATCTGCCTAGACGCGTGAGAATTGACTTATTTCGCGCCCTGATAACGACGAAATTCAGCCTTGAAAGGATAAATAATCCGAAGGGGTTGAGGGTGAAGGTGGCGAAGATGGTATGCGGGAGCATCCATCGAGGAAGAAAAAGGGTTGGCTCGAGCCGAGTGTCGACTAGTCTTCTCGACTGGTGGTGCTTGCTCACCCACTCATCTATACTCTGTAACGAGAGAGAGAGAGAGAGAGAGAGAGAGAGAGAGAGAGAGAGAGTGCGCGTGTGTGCGCGTGAACGAGAGGGAAATGGAGGGAAAAGGAATGCTCGTTAACGAGTTATACGTTAACGGCTGTCTCCCAAAGATCGCACAATCAATTACACTTCTCCATAACCCTTGACCCGATCTTTCATCGTTTCATTCGCGCGCCCGCTCTCTCGTCTCTCGTCTCTCTCTCTCTCTCTCTCTCTCTCTCTCTTCACGGGCTTTTCCGGTTCACACATTTCTCTTCTGGTTGTATTTTTCACTCTCCCTTTACCTCACTGAAGTTTGGCGATAATTTTGCGTCAATGTCTGAAATACCACGGCCTTCTCTCTAATACCTTAAAATAAGCTGGAAGCCTAGGTATTTCCCACGATCGATCTTTATCCTTCGTAGGCTCTATTTCTCATTTGCATATTGGCACGAAAGCTCTGACGTTCATTCATCCTGCGTCTAGGAATTATCGTGGGCCATTGTTTCGCTATTACCCGGTGAGAGATACGCGATCGATTAATGATAAATAGAGAGATGCGAGAGACGTAGACGTCATTGATACGCGGCTTTTAATCGCTCAATTATAAAGCAAACGAGCATTGATTATAAAGAATATGCTTGCGGGCGGAGAAGACGAAAATAAAGGGAATAGGCAGATGTTGAATTGTGATGTAATTGAAAGGTAATGTGACGTATAGAGGATGGTACTAACCGTCGTTGGCTTCCGTACCCGAAATAATCTCATTAAACAATGCCTACGTCGAGGTCTTGAATTTCACGATTCGTACGGGCGCGATCGGCTTGCTTCGGACTTTTATCGATTTAACGGGCTTGATCGAGTCCCTCGAACGAAGCAGACGCGCTCGACGAATGCCCCGAGCAGAGAGAGGATTAATCGAAATGGTGGGGGCCGCGCCCGGGTCGACGATCCGGACGTCGATGACTTTGGTCGAACGCTAGTGAACCGGAATTATGATAGAACAAAAAACGACCCGAGCAACAACTGACCTGCATTGGGAGGCTGACCCAGGGCACCTTGCTGATGCTGCGGATGATGGGGATGGTGGGGCAGCGGTGTGTGCGCCGCGCTGCCGTTGACGAGGCTCTGCTGGCCGACCTGATGTTGGCCTCCGGCGGCCGCGGCCTGCTGCACCGCCGTCACCAGTGACAGGGGCGAGATCTGGGCGTGAAGCGAGGCCAGGGAGCTCGGCGTGTGAGGGCTGCGCTGGTGGACGAGGCCGTCAACGGGACCCCCGCTACCACCACCGCCGCCGCCGGGCCCGTAAGCCCCGTAGTTGCTGCGCCGACCCTCGCGTCGATTGCCGTCGATCGCCGCCTGGAGCTCCGCCGGCGTTGACAGCCGCTTCTTCTCGCACTCGTACGGGTACAGGTACTTCATGTATCTGCAAGTGACGTCAATGCGGCGTTAATTTCGGCACTTTGGCACCTCGAGGTTAGAGGGACGAGTGCCGGCTCGCGCGTGCCAGCCCAGCCAACTTCGACACAGGCACATTCCGAATAATCGCGAGCGCTCGCGGAAGTTGAAAATAAATACAACGGACTTGCCTCGGCTTCAACCTTTCCGCTCGGCCTATTTACAATCCGACGTGATTAAGATTGCGCGACGATACGAGCGATATTTGTTTGCTTACTCTCGCTTACGTACATTCGCGTTTAACGTCGAGTCGCGTGTCCTCTTTCGAACTCTATTCACTACAGCTAATAATAATACCTAACTGTTTATCCGCTAGCAATACCGGTCGCACGGGGATGAGGAGGGAGGGGGCGATTATTATACGCGCTCTATGAGAGAATCGAGGGGCTCTATGAGAGAAATAGTCTCGATCACCGATTTCAGTGTCGTTGAATTCTGAAAACTTTGAGCCCATGTCGGCCCGAATTGCTGCCGCCTATCATCATTATATTAACCGAATATTTTTCATCGATAGCCACGCGCGTTCTCCTCCTCTTACCAAACACAATCTCAACAATCATTCCTGGATACGACAATCCATACGTTACTTGCACATTATCCCATTCCACGATAAATCCAAACCCTGCAATTGAATCACCAGCTTAGTGGTACGATTATTTGTAGTGGCGCACTTGGCAGCACTAAATGCATTAGCGAAGCCTCGCCGATACGGTGAAGAGGATCCCCGCGTTGATGTCCCGTGAAAAAAAAAAATAGAGAATGAGAGAGAGAGAGAGAGAGAGAGAGAGAGAGAGAGAAACAAAGAAATTATTGTGCTTGTTGATAAAATGGAAATTTACATTGGGTAATGTGTAGGACGATCGAGCAGCGCTCGTAAGTACCATCCGCGTAATCTCGAGGTTTGGTCATTCGAGAAATTGCCGGGTGGCGAGTCGTTTCTAAGTAGCAAAGAATGCCGCGCGCGGCGACTGGGACGGATTTTCCGATCGATTAATTGGCCATTTCAAAATTTTCAAGCTGCAGCGCTATTACTATTGTACACGGAATTATAATGTGGAAGTATTGCTGACACGAGCCATTGATTTCTTTGCTTTTATTGCCATTTCCGCCTCGATCTTCGTTACAAACGCAAGAGAAGGGGAAAGCGGACGAGGAGCCTCGTTCGACTCAATTGTCAGCCTACTAATGCAACGATAACGATTAACAAAGTCGATTGAATTTCGTCAAATACACGTCGACTTTTGACATTTTGTTTATTCCTCGCTCCACCTCGCGCAATTCAATAAATAATTAGCGATTCCCGTACGACCTCGACAAATACACGGACTTAAAATCGTCATTTTTAGGTAAAGTAATAAGATATACAAGTGCAACGATATTTTCCTCTATCTCCCATATAATTGACATTATGAGATTATGAAAACCCAATGAAAGCCCGACAAATTTACATTCTTATATTAAGTTTGCTAAAAATGTAAAAAATTCCTTAATTATCGAATAAAATGATTATTATTTTGTATTAAAAATAATAATGACAGCAACATATATATATATATATATATATATATATTAGAGGATAGGAAAGCCTCAAAAAGTTTCAAATTCATCTTTTTACCCTCGACTAAATATAATACACAACATTAACAAATGTCACTTGAACTGGAGCAAACTAAACCAACTCATTTCGAATAATATAATATTAACCGCCGCTTTCCATCTAATTCTTTTCACGAGCTATTTCCGTTTGGATAGAAGTGCGCGCGTAAACATAAGGCATAACGCGAATGACAAACGCTCTCGTACAATATATGGGCGGAAAAATTTCGACACGACGGGCCGGCAAGAAAAGCAAACGTCTATTCCTTTCCATTTAAAAACTTCCTTCACGCACAGACGGACGTACGATGGACAGGCAGACATACGGACAGACAAATAGACAGACAGACAGACAGACAGACAAATCGACAGACCGACAGACAGAGAGACATACATGTGGAGTGCGGCAAACAACGCCGAGGGCTTAATTAAAGTCGTCGCCCCCTCCCATCTCCCCCCCCCCTCCTTCCCCCCCCCCCCCCGCCAGTCAGGGCAGGGTCTACTCGCTTCGAGGGACATAAAAAGATACACACTTTCGTATAATAATCCCGGCGTCTTTCCTTCCTCCTCCTCGTCTTCCTCCTTCAAAGGCGCGAGGCTCTCCGCCGTCGGCTCAACGACGCCTCTCGATATTTCGACCCCCGTCTCCCCACCGCCATCGCCACCTTCGCCACCCCGACTCCTCACCCCGCGCGTGGCGTATCGCCCCACTGGTCAGCAAGTCCAGGCCAGACAATCGTAAAAAGCGAAACGACGCACTGGCGAATTATAGGCCTGTGGCATTATGTATATATGCGTCGGTCTCTCTCACGCGTGTACACGGAACTCGCGATATGCGCTCCTCGTCCCTCGCAGCGTACTCTTGTTTTTTCCATTTCTTTATTTTTTCATTTTTTTCATTTTTTTTTTCATTTTTTTTTTTTTTTTTTTTTTTGTGCGGGACAATGAGGCCGATAGTCCGATAGGGAAGCCAAGCTGACGTGAATTGTGAATTCGGACGGGAGCCGAAGCTTGAGATCGGGACGCGCCGAGGAGTCTCACGACGGCGCCGACCTGGAATTATCACTGGAGATTGCCGGCTCCCGCTCGAGCCTTCGCGTCGAAGGAAGCGGCGAAGGCGAATAAATCTGTAGCCCGAGGACTCGCGCGCTTCCTCGCCAGCCCTTTTACGATTTTGCTATCGAGGCTACAACACCGCCTTGGCACCGACTGCTCGATATTTTCTGACGTCGGTAAAACACAAGCGACGCCGTGCATTATCGCCGTAATCAGCTAACGTACGTTCTCGGGAGGCGAATTTTGCCGTGGAGAAAGTCCACTGCCGCAAGGAAAGCCGCGAGTCAGTAGTTAAAAAAAATAAGAGCCGCCTACCATACAACGGCAAGGCAAAGCTTTCGTTGCGCGAGAACGTTGGAAGCGATTTGCGATGGGAGATGCGATCGATCGATGATAACTTCGATGCAGACGACCAAAGTCGAACACCGGAGATGGAAG